AGCTGAAACTCCAAAGAAGCCTTCAGCTGCTGTTTACTTCATTGTAAGGACTAAACGTGCACCAACTAGAGCTCCACCGTTACAAGGACTAGAGTGGGGGAATCTGGCTTAGTAGCTTTATTAGAGGTACCTCTTTATTGCATTCTGTTCTGACTCTGAGGTGATTTTTGGCTAACGCCCCTCAGAAGCAGAATCATACACCGGTGTGGGTAATACATTTCATTGATAGAGTATAAGTAAGTTTATTTGTTTGATATCAGTTGTATTCTGCTTAAAGTGCGACTCTGCCATCCGGAGACTCTTGGCTGTGAAGCCCTCTAGTGGCAGACCAAATTTACTGCATTGCAAAAAGAAGAAAAGTAAGTTTTGAAGTTGAAAGGGGAACCCCACCCCTCTACACTGTATTTCATTCTCCATAAAATTGTTCTTGTTTCATTAACCCTGTGTCAGCAAATTTCTTGGCGGTGTATTTGCTATTCATTACCAATTGTGCCAGAGGGATTGGGTTTGCTTAGGGTTGGATCTATTGAGCGCAGGACCCATAATATATTCCAGCTTGTCCCAAGGGGCAGTGCTACATGTACGAGCAGCTAGCATATGAAGGCAAACTTCTGCACCTCCAATAGACAATAAAAATAATAAATATGCAGCGCTCGAAAAATGACATCAGATACACAATAATAGTATTGAAAAAACTAAATACATATACTGTATAGTGAGCGCTGGTAAAGCTAATAGATAGTGAAGTGAAGATTACGTCTTATTATGACGTTACAACGTGTCAATGAAGTATAGAGTTGAGTGACAAAAGTGAATACTTCAATCAACTTAAATAACAGTCCATAAACAGGGGTGATCCGTGCTCCGTGATGGTAACTTCAGGTGCTGTGAGCCAATGAGACTATGCACTTACCAGAAGCGCATAATATATGCGCAAAAATGATCCTTTATAGGTACATCTGGGTCTGGTCTAGGGCTGCGGGGTCATCAGGCTCAATGTGGACACATGGTATGATACTGCCCACACACAAGGGTCACACTCCGCTCATACAGTAGACAGTAACCATCAGAACAGCTCCAGGTAATACTCCAGGTCCAGATGAGGTTCCACCTTGTAAGGGTCCTTGCTGTTCCTGTTTCCTTCACATGTGTTATCTGTGCTCACCAGATGTACCTATAAAGGATCATTTTTGTGCATAAATTATGCGCTTCTGGTAAGTGCATAGTCTCATCGGCTCACCGCACCTGAAGTTACCAGCACGGATCACGGATCACCCCCGTTTATGGACTGTTATATAAGTTGATTGAAGTATTCACTTTTGTCACTCAACTCTATGCTTCACTGACACATTGTAACGTCATAATAGGACGTAATCTTCACTTCACTATCTATGCGCTTTAGCAGCGCTCACTATATATTACAGCTTACTGGTCTTTAGATGTGATGGCTGCATTATTTTAGGTTTTTTTTATTACCTAGTAATCTTGCATATTCCTTCCTAGTGTGTCTATGCTCACTTCTCTACTGTATCTACAGAGGAGTAGCATGGTCACCCATTGACAGCAGCATTGTCAAGCTGTGGTGGCACAACCCAGGGTCAGCATATACTTCCTCGACTAAAATGCCAGTTCATAGATGACAGAAATGTAAATCCTATCACATGTGCAGTTCTTGGCTGTTTTTCCAAATGTCTGACACCAGTCAGTCTCTGTTGCAGTTTTGTTCAGCTTGTGACTGGCTACAATATTGGAGTCAGATCACTAATATGAAAAAAGAGCTTTCTACTGTCTGTAGCACAATTATGACATTGTCCCATCCTAAGCAAAAGTCACTGGACTGAAGCTCATGGACGCTTTTTGATTGATATAAGATGGAGATTTTTGAAAGAGGATATTGTTTCAGCGAATTGTGACGTGTCGAAAAATAATTCATGCATATTTGTTACATTATTGAAAGGTCCACCTCAAACTGAAATTCCAAGTCTAAAGTCTACATGTATAGTTATTGTTTCACCTGGCAAAGGATTAGCTATTCTTTTATTATGCACCCATGCAGCCATGGCTTCAGTAAAATGACTCCACTACTGCCTGGTTTTGCATTCCTGAGTTTTTGCTGCTTCTGAGGTCAACTCATGAGACATGAAAAGAAGTGTGATGCTGATTCACTATTCAACCAGGGCAGCCTTTCGCAATCTTTTTGCCCCAGAAAAACCATTAACATTTCAGATCTTGGGGAACCCCTGCTAAAATTGTTGGTAGTAAGTGGGGAAAAATGCTTCTTAGAGTGGTGGCCAATGATGCCCCACCAACATTGGTAGTCAGAATGCCCCTTACAGACAGCTAAAAGATCACTGGTGTCATAGAAAAGGTGACACCAAAAGGCATTGGCCCTGGAACTCCACAGGAACCAGATGGGGGGGGGGGGGGGGGGTAAATTAGCCAAAGCTCAAGGTACCCCTACCAATGTTTAGAGGAACCCTAGGGTTCCTTTAACTCACCTGCAAGTACCAAAAATATCCATTTCAGATGAACTGTTCCTAAAAGCAGTAAAGTAGAAACCAGCAAGTTTCTGACAGAACTAAGCCGGACACTTTCACACCAGAGAAATAGTCAGAGCTTATAGGCTCTGTAATATCAATGGTTTATTGTTTCAATAACACTGTTTTATGGATAACCAAAATCGATTCCAAAATGAAATGCTTCAGTCTCAGCTCAGCTGTTGTGTCCTGCTCTAGTGTTTAAGGCCAAGTCACCATTCTAGGCATCAGGTGGGCTTTTACTGATCAAGCCAACGGAATAGATCTGCACCTGCGACTATCCGACTCAACAAGAAAAACACGGTGTTCCATTTACTTCATTATATGGTGCAAAGCATTCTACAGAATCAAACAGCTCTCTCTTCAACAATATCAGCAGTAAAACATTCTGTTACTATCAGGCTGGAAGTGTGGAGAGACCACATAATACCTAGTCTTGGGAGCCAAAAAGTGTCTGAAGGAAGAATCGCTTATTTTACCTAGAGCATATGTATTTTAACTTTAATTCCCCCGCACTGCACGGGAAAATAAAAGAAAAAATTGTAATGGTCTCCAAAGGCAATATGAACTTCCTAAAATGAAGTTCCGGCCCCCACCACCTCCCAAAATAAAAAAAAGTCAGCGGTTACAAATACTGTGGCTACTGGCTTTCAATAGTAGGGCACTTACATGTCCAGGCATCTAGCGGTGTCCTCACCCTGAGCCGATTCTTCAATCAGCTAACAGGGGCTGGTTGCCTACTGTGCATGTGCGAAGCATGCTGCATTTTGTGAATGAGTTGCAGTCCTTTGGGACCTTGGAAGTGTCCCAGAGGGCTGCGGGGGGTGCCGAACTTCCGGCTCAGTTCACTGCGGCAAACTCAGCTAGAAGTGGGAGTGGATACCTGTCAAAACCAGGTACCTGCTCCCCCCCAAAAGGTGACAAATGTATCAGCGAAGGAGGGGAGGAAGCAGAAAAGCAAAGCTTCCACTTTCGGGCGGAACTCTGCTTTAATGCATGTTTAAGCATAAGGCCCAACATTTTCTGGACAGTACTGTAAAAGTAACCTTTAAATGAAATTTGGCTTCTTTGGCCCCTGCCCACTCCATATAAAACTAAAAAGTAAGATAGTACACTTTTCAAAATGAAATCTCTACTTAATGCAGCATCAGCAGATTCAAACATGAGCTCAATTACAGCTTCACAATATAATCTGCTTCATTTAGAAGTGACTATTAGCCTCTCTGGTGCCAATGGGGCCCCTGTGTCCTTGCCCAAACTCAAAAAAGCCTATGAAAAAGGTACCAGTGGCATCTCATGGGGCCCCCTACTGACCCCGGGCCCTTGGGCAGTGCCCGAGTTTCCAAATGGTCAGTCCACCCCTAGGCAGTTGCCCTTCTTAGCCCTTAAAACAGTATTAAACCCAAAAGCAAACATTTATTATATTGCAGCTTACCAGTTCTTAGATGTGATGGCTGCATTTGTTTCCTTTTCTGTCAGTTTCATTTGGTGATCCAGCCAGCAAGTCTGCTGTTTTTCAACAGTACAAGCTCTCCAGTAGAATGTATCAGTTTACATGGGTGAGACAAACCATTTACTACTGACAGGAGTAATTCAAATGATCTTTTATTTACTCAAAACTTTTATCTCTAAAGGAAAAAAAAAACTGTTGCTATAACTGATTATAACGTGTGAGCTGGAATTCGGCTACAATTTGTTACTGAATTCAGATCTGCTAATTAATTTAGCAATTAATAATAATATTAATAGTAAACCCCCTTTACACATGGGTGGTACGTGGTAGTGCATGCTTGCTTGCACACTAATGCACTCTAACATGTGTTGCTTCATCCTGAATGGGCTGCCAATGCACCTAAATCCAGAAAAACACCATAACGCACCTGTGCTGTGCATTTACAAAATGAATGACAACACAGCATAACTCAAAGTTACCATGCCATACCACAAATCACTTTACTGAAATGCACAGATATTAATCCTGCCTAAAAGGAAACTATTGGTTGTACTGTATATGTTAATTTTCTTTTTTAACATTTTTTAGATGTACATAGAACCATTACTGATTATGCATAAAAATGATCAAAATGTATTTTATAGGACTTTTTCACTATGTATAGTATGATGGAAATTGTGCACGTGCAGTTTTTTTGCAAATATGCGCATATCTTCTAAGCAGTGCTGCACACTATATTGGAGAATGCACTGTCACTAACGATTGGGAACAAATCAGTATTGTTCCAGATCCTGTTATCACTGTGACAGCCAATCATGGTGATCACAGCTGTCACTGTGCTTTGCAGAGACACCAGTGACAGCTGAAACTGGCAGGCTGTGGCTGCAGCTGTCACTGTAAATTAGGATGAATATAAAAAATGTTTTAAAAATGGAGTAAACCTTAAAGTGGAGTTCCACTCACCCTGTCAAAAAATAAAAGTCAGCAGCTACAAAAACAGACTTTTAAAAAACAGCCACTGTCCTTCGGTCCTGCGGTGTGTGTCCCACGTCTTGTTTCACGGGCCGTCCTGTATTCCAGGTGGCCGGCATCTTCAGTGTGGGCACCCGGCTGTGACAGCTTGTGGCTTCACAGCCGGGACCCACTGCACATGCGCGAGTAGCACTGTGCTTCATGAATGGTCCTGTAGTCTTCTGGGACCTGTCATGTGTCCCACAAGACTACAGGGAGGGAGGGAGGACACCTTCTGCTTCCGATCACCTAGGCGATTGGACCGGAAGTGGGATCGGGTACCTGTCAAATTTGAGTACCCGCTCCCCCCCCCCCGCCCCCCAAATGTGCCAATCCTTAATGGGGAGTGGGGGAGCAGTACTTAAAGCAGAACTTCCCCTTTTGGGTGGAGCTCCGCTTTAACAATGCACCACTCTTGTTTGTTTTTGGCCTGTTAAATACTGTATACCATGGCAAGCATTTTGTTATACCTGTTCGATAGGTGCAAAAATAACCTGTTATATATTTAAAAAATTTTAAACTGTCCTCTGTGCACACTTCATGTGTTATCTCAAGTAGTTTAATTACCCCTTGCAGTTTTTATCTACAGAACGTTTACGCAAGCCATAGATGAAGTGATTTTCTTGCTGCAAACATGGGTTGCAGGAAAGAAAATCACCTGATTCCCCCATCAACACAGTCAGTGTTGATGGGGGAATCCCTCCCATGGAGCAACTGTGTTTTCCCAGTGGGGGGCATCCCTGATTATTGATAAGGGCTATAGCCGCTGGAAATAATAACATGCTAAAAATCCGACATGCTGGTTTTACCTAGGTCGATCAATGGATAGACTTGGATGCCATCAACCTGCCCATAGATGGATTGAATCTCAGCCAGTCCCTGCTGAACTGGCAGAGATTCAAGCCTTCTATGGATGGCTTTAGTGTCTATGTGATAGAGAAGGTAGATTGGAAGTGACTGAATAGTTAAAAAGGTACTTTGCTTCCTTCCACCCACCTCCTGCCCTATTCCCCCACCCTTTACCTTTTCAGCTGGATAATCCACCAAGAAACATACTTGCACACCCAATGACTAAGCTGTACTCTGTAGAGATCCGCCACACCATTCCTGCACACTGCATCCTGCATCACTATCTTCATCTGTGATGTCCCCATCATCAGGCCCCCTGATGACATGCAGTTACATCATCAGGGGAATGGCTGTAAATACTAGGCAACCCCCTGATGACACACCATGGTGCATGTATAGTAGCTAACCCTGCGACCTCCTGGGACGAATGATGTGGGTATGCCAGGAGACTACAGGCAGAAGACACAATATTCTCACCTAGGCGAGACCGAAGATGTGCAGAGAGAATTAAAAGGAGAGAAGGGACAGGGATTAAAAGGAGAAAAGTGGTTGTGGGGGCGAAGATCCACTTCATTCAAATAAGCAGACAACTGGGCAGAACTGATACCACTCTGTCCACAAAAACACTGTGTGTTGTCATTCCACAACAGGACTTTGTATCTGTGTGCATTTCTAGCAGGTCAGCAGATGTTTTTCTGCCCTTGCAGGGTCTTTAAAAGGATAAAATCTGTGGAAATTTGAATGTATTGCAGAGATGTTACTTTGTGATTTGACCAGAAGTAATAATAATAATAATAATAACAACAACAGAAAGGAAAAAAAAAAAACATTAAATCATCTGAAAAGAGTGGAATAGAAAAGTGTTAATTCTGCCAAAAAAATTTGTGTCAAGTCTATAGAACGGGCTATAAAAAAGGTAATTTGTCACAGTTTCAATAATATTTTCTTTGCAAACCTTCAGACTTATTTCCATATTTCAGAGGTGTAAATTATCTACATTACCAGAGTGTTAAAATCATTTTCTGAATAGCTGCACACATAGGCGCTTAGCCTTGTTCAGCATTTTACAAAAATGACTGTGTACGGCTCCAGCTCAGCAAGATAAACAAAGTACTGTATTAGGGGTATTGAGAAATGAGGACTGTCACAGAAGGCATTCTATTCAAAATGGAGTGAACAGGAAATTCATGCACTCACCATAACAGCATATTGCTTAAAAGATACTTAAAGGCACTATTTTTTATTTTTTTTTCTGAATGTCTAAGAGCAGGGTTTCTCACCCAAAGTTTCATGGAACCCTAAGCCTGGGTTCACATATATGCAGTGTGGTATATCGCATGAGATATGCACAGGAACTGCACTGCTTTCCTGTGCAAATCACATGCGAATAGTGTGCAGTGCGATTGGAGCCAGACATTTTGTATGGCTCTATTCGCACCGCATCTGCAACAAAAATGCGCAAGACCCTTTTTTTGGTCCGCTATAAAATCGGATCGTATAAGTATCCACACCTATGCGATCTGATTCTGCACATCGCACGGTGTTTTGCGGACCACTTTCAGGGTGTTGTTAACTTAACATACACACCTGCAGTGCTTCCCATGAACGGGGTGCGATTCTTATGCGGTGCGGAATTCGCACAGAAAACGCTGCAAATTCTGCACCGCATCAGTGTGAACCAGGGCTGAGGCTCGTTTTCTCAACCAGGGTTTCATGAAACCCTAGGCCTCAGTTTCCCAACCCGGGTTTCACTGAATCCTTGGATTTGGTTTTTCAATCAAGGTTTCATGGAACCTTAGTGCTCGGTTTCTCAACCAGAGTTTCACTGAACCCCAGGGCTCGGTTTCTCAACCAGGGTTTCATGGAACCCTTGGATTTGGTTTCTCAATCAAGGTTTCATGGAACCTTAGTGCTCGGTTTCTCAACCAGAGTTTCACTGAACCCCAGGGCCTGGTTTCTCAACCAGGGTTTCATGGAACCCTTGGATTTGGTTTCTCAATCAAGACTTCATGGAACCTTAGGACTCGATTTCTCAACAAGGGTTTTATTGAACCCTAGGGCTCGGTTTCTCAACCAGGGTTTCATGGAACCCTTGGATTTGGTTTCTCAATCAAGACTTCATGGAACTTTAGGACTCGATTGCTCAACAAGGGTTTCATTGAAGCCTAGGGCTCGGTTTCTCAACCTGGGTTTCATGGAACCTTAGAGTTCGGTTTCTCATCCAGGGTTTCATGGAATCCTAGGATTTTTCCAGACGTTGCTAGGGGTTTCTTGAGCAATAAGCAGTTCTGCATCTCAGGTAGGTTCCCACTGACACCATATATCTTTTTAGCTATCTTTAAGGGGTAATTCTTCCCATTGTTCACAGGTGTTAGGAGCATTCTTCCCACTGACCATCACACTAATGTATCATGATTTGTAGATATTGTTTAGCAGGAGTTCCCTGTGACCAGAAAGTTATTTCAAAAGTTCCTCTGTGTTGAAAAGGTTGAGGGAAAGGCTGTCATAGAGCTACATACAGCCTCCTAAAAACAAAAATAGGTGTACACAGCTATTTGTGCAAAGCTATATAAAAATGGAATGCAGTGAACACACCTAAGGTGCATTTGATGAATTACATCAATGCACATGCTCTACTTTTCACAAATAGCAACCAACTGCCTTCTCCCATACATGTCTATGGGTGGCTCTATGCAGCTCTAGAAAAACAAAAATAAACTGCACAGGCAAAAGCACCCATGTGGTTTATGGGATGTAGTGTTTACCATCCTCACATACTGTTAATACCCATAAAAAAACACTTTGTATAAGAAAAATCATAAAAAAAAGTTTCTTTAAAATGCATATATAGAGATTGAAACTTTTAAAGTATAGAATCTAAAAAATATTTTTTTCTTTTGAACTTTAAACAAATATTTGAAATAATAACTGCTTGGCTGCCTATGAGTTCAGTACTTTTTGAATCACTGACCAAAAATAAATGTGGCAAAAAAAACCTAATAACTAATTTTGTAAATGCTTTTTTTTTGCAGGTGATTGATATTACTGGATAAGCATGACATCCATGCAACCATGATTTTAGGACTGTGTAGCAGTGAGAACATATGTTCATACAGGTTTCATTTAGAGGATTAGTGCCCTTGCCCTGGCTGCCATCAGGTGATGTTCTCTTTCTAAAACATTTCCACAATTGCATTGTGCCACTTGCACACATTCAGCCCAAGCTCCAATGACTTCAATGGAATTCCCATCAACAGGTGGATAGACAACAGATGGGTCTTGTATTGAAGTCAATGGACGTTGGGTCCCGGGTGGCATTGTGAATAACTGGAAAGGTTTTTGGAAGAAAAGGTGTGTGATGTCAATCTAGACACACACTAAAGATCTCTGTGGAGCTGTAGTTTTGGTGCGTATAACCTAATGCAAAAGTGTTCAGCACAAGAACAGGGACCAGCTATGAAAAGTGCACTAAAATGCACTTATCCTTTAAGAAGTTTGCAGGAGCAAGTCCAAGAGGTCCAAGATAAAAAGACATGACGATCAATAGTTAGGAGGCCTTGAACATAAAGTACAAAAACACCTCTAGAGATGTGGAGTTGCAGAACCCAACACATCTTCAGATATGCTTCTAAAAGGAAAGGTGAGCTGGAGGCATTGGATCCCAAACTGGAGTTTACACCCACATACTCATGTTGAGCTAGAGGTACTGGAATGCAGGCAGGCAAATAACGTTTACTGGAGATACTGCTTTGGATTGAGTTTGAAGGCACAAGAAGGTGAAAGCACAAAATGCGTTGGATACACATGGATTGTATCATACTGTTTTAATGGAATAAACTGTATATTTGAATTATTGCCTTGTGTGTGGCACTCAGTTCTTGTTTCATCAATCTCCAATATGCTTCTGGCTGTCCTATTTTCTGGTTGAAGGCAAAAGGACTAACCAGGCCACAGATGTGTGGCTTATGTTAGCATCATGTCTTCTAGGGAAAAGTGAGGTTTGTTGTTGGTAGGGATGGGTGTTAATGTCATGAATCAACAGCTGGGATGGCCAGATCTGCATGGTTACACTATGAAACTGTGAACAGACTATATATAGTAAAGTACATTTATTAATAGTAAAACAAAAGCCATCCAAACACCAGCAAACAGAAATCATGGCAAACGTGAAGATACAATTGAACCACAACTAGCAAACTAAGGAAGCCTAATGAACTAACTATATACAATATGTACAAAGAAAAATTCACAACACGGATAAACAGGGTAAACTGGAGATACAGGGAATAGATGGGAAGGAGGCAGGAAATCAGGTGCAAGCGGAGCAGAAAAAAGGCAGCAGAAACAGGATGCAGGGCAGGAGAAAGATCAAGATGTAGAATCAGGATAAGTGGCAAGCAGTATCTGACAGCAAAGCAAAACATTGATGTGAAAGGCACTAATAGAGGAGGAACTAAATACCCTCTCAGAAGCCAGCAACAGGTGTAAACTGTTTACTGGGATATGTTGGCTCCTGGGAGACACCCACTGGTGGACACTAGAAACTACAACCCTCCACCCAGGCAATCACAGTGCCACAAGCAGGTGATCTGGGTCCTGACAGTTTGGTTGCTTGTAGGGAACAAAAGAACCCCTGTGTAGGGACTTCAAGCTCACATAGAACTTCCTCCTAGCAGTAGGTATCTGAGAGTTCAGTCATCAAACACAAGCTTTATCACATTAGAGGAAGGGGAATAAGTCATATGATTGCCAAACCCAGACGTACTAGGTATTTTTCTTTTTTTTTTCTGATTTAACAGAGTTGGTGGGTGCAAAACAGATGGTAAATATGTGTTGCTGCTGGGGCTACCATTATGATTAACTGGTTCTTACCTACGTGGGCAAAACACAAATTTGCTTTGATATGAAGTTGTTTCTACATTATCTTTTTTTGTGTTCTTTATTTCAGGAGCATAAAATAAAATGATGTATACTTTTTGTAGTAAGTGAAATATAGCACATGAATATTGATGCTACAGCTACATTTTTTTTCAGAAAACTGCTTTGTTGCAATGTTGTGAACAGGGGTGGACTGACCATTTGGAAACTCAGGCACTGCCCAAGGGCCCGGGGTCAGTAGGGGGCCCCATGAGATGCCCCTGGTACCTTTTTTATAGGCTTTTTTGAGTTTGGGCAAGGACACAGGGGCCCCATGATCCCCTATTGCCCCGGGGGCCCCATGAGTTGTCAGTCCGCACCTGGTTGTGAATAGCCTGGTTAGCCTATGTTTTCAATTGACCTGTATAATCCAATTATACAAACACAGCTGAATTACTCAGAGGAGGGACACACTCACTTTCCTTTCGGCAGCTGGATTACTCAATTTGAAAGGAGCAACCAGAAAGCATGCAGGCATTTTAATAAAAAAAAAAACAGTATTGTTTGCAAGGTATGTTTGAATGATGTATAATGTACTGTTTACAAACTAAATAAAAAAAAGTATGGCAAATGAAAACGAATTAAAAATTAAAATAGGCCAACCATAAATTTGCTTTATTTGTAAGCAGACTTTGACTCTTTGTTCAATAACTCAGCTACATTTATTTAACATTAAACAGTTGACAGTACATCAGACTGAAATATTTGATTCTACATAGCTGTCTCCATGGAATACACTTCTGTAAAAATCTAAATAACTGCTCAGCATGCAGCTAATGGCTATTCATAATCAGACAGAGTAAACACTGCATAAAACAGGATTCGTGCTATATGTGGGCGCCGTTGGGGATTTAAATTTGCGAAGATTCTTGGAAACAGCTTAACGTTCCATACGCACATTTGGTGAATAACTATATACATACACAGTCACACTACTAGAGTTGTTGGTTTGAATCCCAGCCACGGCACCACCTGCCTGGAGTTTGCATGTTCTCCCTGTGCCTGTATGGGTTTCCTCTGGGGACTCCGGTTTCGCCCCACACTCCAAAGACATGCTGGTAGGTGAATTGGCCCCTGTCTAAAACTGACCCTAGTATGTTTATGTATGAATGTGAGTTAGAGACCTTAGATTGTACACTCCTTGAGGGTTAGGGACTGATGTGAATGTACAATATATATATATATATATATATCTGTGTAATCGCTATGTAAATTGACATCACTATATAGGTACTTGTAATCAATAAATAAATAATAAACAAGTGATGGGATCTCCACATACAGGGACTGTACACATACACGAATGCATGCAATTCATAAAACACAAAGTGATGAGTTAATCCCCTACATTGACTATGTACATACTGTACATGGACACATCCCATTTATAACAGTTACTATATATACATGGATGTATGCCATTCATAAAACAGAGATTGATGAGATCACCCTTTACAATGAATATACTGTATACATACATGGATGTATGCCATTCATAAAATAGAGAATGATGGGATCACCCCTTACACTGAATATACTGTAAACATTTACGGATGCATGCCATTCATAAAACAGAATATATAAAGGTTTCAGATCCTACAGTAACTATATACATACATGGGTGCATGCCCTTCAGAAAACAGAGACTACTGGTATTGGGTTTGCACCTTACAATTAATTCATATGTTCATAAAACAGCAAGTGATGGGTTCACCTCTTACAGTGAATATACAGTACACATACACATTTGTGTATAGGTTTGTCCCTTACAGTGAATTTATACATACATAAATGCATGCCATTCATAAAGTTGAGTGTTGAGCTCAGCATTTATATTGAATATATAAAGTACATACAGGATCACATGCCATTCATTGATGTGTCCCCCCTTGCAATGACTTATACATAAATACATGTAATTAGAAAAAGAAAGAAAGTGATGGTTTCACCCCTTACAATGAACATACAGTATACATACACAGACACATGTCACTCCTAAAACAGAGAGTGGTGGGTTCACCCCTTATAGTGAATTTTTTATACATATAGATGGATGCCATTCATAACACAATGAAAGATGAGATCAGCCTTTACATAGAATATAGGCATACAGGAATGCATGCCATTCATAAAATAGAGAGTAATGGAGTTCTCCCTTACCCCATACAATGTTTATATACATACACGGATGCAGGCCATTCATAAAACAGGGAATGATGGTTTTGCCTGTACAATTTCTATGTAAATACATGGACACAGGCCATTCATAAAACAGGGAGTGATGATTTTACCTCTTACAATGTCTATGTAAATACATTGAAGCAGGCCATTCATAAAACAGCTAGTGATGGGTTTACCCTTACAATGTCTATATAAATACATGGATGCAGGCAATTCATAAAACAGCGCGTGATGGGCTCACTTCTTACAATGTCTACATAAATATATGGATGCAGGCCATTCATAAAATAGCTTTTGATGGGCTCACCTCTTACAATGTCTATGTAAATACATGGATGCAGGCCATTTATAAAACAGTGAGTGATGGGCTCATTGCTTACAATGTCTATGTAAATATATGGATGCAGGCAATTCATAAAACAGCGAGTGATGGGCTCACTTCTTACAATGTCTACATAAATATATGGACGCAGGCCATTCATAAAATAGCTTTTAATGGACTCATGTCTTACAATGTCTATGTAAATATATGGGCGCAGGCCATTTATAAAACAGTGAGCGATGGGCTCATTGCTTACAATGTCTATGTAAATATATGGACACAGGCTATTCATAAAACAGCAAGTGGTGGTTTTGCCCCCTTACAATGAATTTATATATACACAGAAACATGCCATTCATAACAAAATAAAGGTAGGTTTGGATTATAGTGCCACATCCTATATATAACAAAAATATTGAAGTATGGGGAAAGTCAGACGTTTGATGCACCACTCTACAGACAAATCTGTATATAAAAATATATTTTTACAAACATATCACAAAGACAAATATCTCTTTAAAATCAGTCACCAATATATAAGTTATATAAGTCCATAAGACAATATACAGCAGATCCATAACTGTAGTTAGTATACAGTGATAAATAGGTGGATGCACTCAACACGTTTCATGGAATGTATCTGTTTCCTCAAGAGTGTATAGAAAGGGTGGCAGTGATGCCAGTTTGCTCAAAGGCGCAAGTGTCTGGATAAAAGGGCCAAGATCAGGCAACCAAAGGAAGCAAACAGCTAGTGCAGATTGGACAGGTGCCAATTTGTTAATATGAAAATTGCTAAACATCAGCAGCACCTGGAGGGCATATTTCTGACAACAGGAGACCCATATTGTGCCAAACATTTGCTGCCACTTGCATATCATTCATAAAACAGAGAGTGATGGGTTCACCCCTTACAGTGACTTTATACATACATTTATGTTGCTATTGATAAAAATAGAGAGCGATGGGATCCCCCTTTACAGTGACTATATACATACATGCTATTCGTAAAACAGGGAGTTATTAGATAGCCCCTTACAGTAAATCTATATACACATACAAAGACCCACGTCATTCATAAAAACCCCCTATATTGAAAGTTACAGTTCATTTGTACTTACCCTGATCTTTCTAACCATTGAATCTCTGTATTGCAGCCTTCCTCTTCATGGACGTACCAAATTCACAAACCACGGACCACTAAGAAGCTTTGAGCATTTTAACTACATGAGTGATTATGTGTGAAGTACAATATCCCATGCCGACCCATCATGCTATTTTTTTTTCGTCATTTGATTATAGTAAACTGAAATTCAGTTGACTAACCCCGAATCTTTATTTCCCACTAAGAAAGAGGATGAGATTAGTACAATGTGAAATCCTTTGTGACTACAACATAACACAGATAATAAATTGGAACTAAACTGTATCTGAGCACCACAAATGGAAAATGTGGTTTAATTCATTATTAATTTTCAAAGCAAACTGGTCCAACCATCCATGCCTCGATGCCTTATTCTGTTGAGAAATCACTTTGAAAACTGCCCGACTAGCATTTCTAGCCACAGTCATCTTGAATAAGGGCAGATGATTCAGGTGGCATTTACTTCCTGGAATCCATCTGCCCTCAGCTTAGGCATGTAAGCAGGAGGGTATGCTTAGCTGAGAAAGCCCCTCCTACAGGTGAAAGAAAAAAAAAAAACGTCCATTAAGACTCTTGGAATGTATGATATAATTTTGGCCTAGGCAAGAAGCCAGGATGCAACTGAAGAAATGAAAAAAAAAATGTTTAAAACAAGTAAACATAATATGCTACCCTAGCTATTTACTAATGATAGCAGCATAAGGATTATAAATAGTTAAGTGCACAAAATCACGTATATATATATATATAAATATATATATATATATATATATATATATACAGTACGTGATTATGCAGTTCTGGGTAGGGGGCGCGCATCGCCATTCACAGCCTCAGCTGCCAATCACCAGGTCCTGGCCGTTGATTCTCCACTGGCACCCAGTGATCTCTGAGTATTACCGATGGAGGAGAGACCTGTATGTAAACAATACAGATCTCTCCCCTGTCATCTCGTGTACTCGGCTTTGTATGGCTCTGCATAACACAGCCATACAAAGCAGTGTACTTGCAGTGTAAACCACACATAGCCCACATAGTAAAATAGCACACAGCACACAGTTAACGCTTTGATTGCCCCACATGTTAACCCCTTCCTGCCCAGTGTCATTAGTATAGTGTCAGTGCTTTTTATTGGCAATGATCACTGTGTTGGTGTCACTGTGGATGTCAGTGACACCAAGTCAGTTCCCCCCAGTGTCAGAATGCCCCCTGCAGTCCCGCTATAAGTCACTGCCATTTCTAGTAAAAAAAAAAAAAAATTGCAGAATATATACCGACATTTGTAAATGATATAACTTTCACATAAATCAATTAATATACACATAATGGGATTTCTTTAGCAAAGGTATGTAGCAGAATACATTTTGGCCTAAATTTATGGCGAAATTTTATTTTTTTATTACTGGACAAATTTTTTTTTTTTTTTTCAAAATTGTCGGTCTTTTTTGTTTTTTATAGCACAAAAGATATAACGCACAGGCAATCAATTATCACCAAAAGAAAGCTCTATTTGTGGGAAAATAAGGACGCAAATTTCATTTGGGTGCAGCATTGCATGACCGTGCAATTGTCAGTTAAGTGGTTAATGTTGATTGAGAGAGTTTAGTTCTGTTTTAATCCTGACACATGCTTTTTTTAAAAAAAAAAATCCTAATATAATACGTCATCTAAAATTCATTGAT